AACCACGCGAGGCTGCTGCCGCAGCAGGAGATACCCACCCCCAAGGCGAAGATGAAGACCATCAACTGGAACAAGATACCGAATCATAAAGTACCAGCCCTGTCTTCGGCCCCGCCTCTCGCGCCAGAACTACCGACCGATTAGAGTCGCTTATCTGTGATTCGAAGAATCGATGGAACTCGTAGACTCGTTTGTTACTGGACTCGGATAGAGAACTTTCTGTCGGTGTTGCACCTGAGGTGCCAGTTCTCGATCCTTGCTGCTCGATTAGCAGCGTTTCGCGTAGTTTCACCCTTCGCAGACGTAGATTCTGGTATACAAACCTCTTTGGAAATTCTGCCGAATTAGATATCGATAGTAATGAATTGAATAATAGGGAATAAGGAATGCACTGATTTCATGCTGTTCGAATAGGGAAATCAGTCGTTCGCGACTCGGTAGACCAATCGTGAAAGTTTCACCTCGGCGGAATCTCGTCATCCGGAAGGGGTTAAATCTGGAGCTAACTGAAGCTTCAAAGAAACGTTGAAGTGTAACGGATGATTTTGATCTAGCTGGTAGTTCTGGTGTTAACGGTCGCCTCGCTGCCATTCCGCTGACGCACCGGTTGTCTTCCTCGCCGATCTGTTCGTAGGTAATCGGCAAGCGAAACATTTGGTCCCTGGTCGCGGACGAACACCAAAACTCCCCCATGGCGGACATAGACTGGGCAGAGATGGAGGGACTCTTCTGCCAGCAAGTGCCGCCGATGCTTCCGGCTAGTTCCTCCTGCTCCGCCAATTACGGGGTCAACTCCGACGCGGAGAAACGGCGACGAGAACCGACCGAGGTGCGTATTCGTCTGTCGATCACGAGGTATCTCGTAGTTTCAGTTGCAAGTTTAGATTGTACGCTATCTCCACGCCCCGGGCAAGACGCTCGACATTTTTCTAGCTGCGAACGCGACCCCTTGCCCTACCACAGTGAACGTTCCAAATAAAATTCAATAAACATCGATATTATTCAATTCGTTCGAATGAAAGTTACATATTACTCCTATGTTACCAATGATTACACCTTAGGGCAAACGTTGACGTAGAATGAGACGTTGGAGTAAATATCAATACAATCCACTTCCAATCAGTCGCGCAAACATAAGTCGGCCTTCGGTTAAGTTCGGGTTTCACTGTTAAAATTTCGAAATAGAAAACGCGTGCTCAACGATATCAGAGTAGTTAGATCGATCATAACTCGGAAGGAAGTCGTAGGAAACGGGTTGAAACGGAACGAAGAACATCAAAGGGAAACCTGTCGATTTCAGATCGCTCTGCTGGACGGTAAGAGGAGCTTGAACGTCAACATATTTCTGAAGCAATTCCGAAGGTAAGGAACGATAGCGTCGCGACGCACGGCAGGCTCTAGAGTCTCTATTCACTGACACGAATGTCGCAGTTCGAACGAAGACATTATCCAGCTGATCAGGGAAGGCGGCCACGATGACATCGGCGCAGAGAAGCTGCGCGGCCTTCTGAAGATCCTGCCCGAGGTGGACGAGCTGGAGATGCTCAAGAGCTTCGACGGGGACAAGTCGAAGCTCGGAAACGCCGAGAAGTTTTTCCTGCAGCTCGTCCAAGTGCCGAAGTAAGAGTCAAGTTCGCTTCGAGCGGCGCGAAATCAATATTTCAGCGGTTCATCTTGAAAGTGACCGAAGTCCGCTTAAAAAAGATTAACCCCTTGTACTCGGAAGGTGACTCAGTCACACTAGATTTGACATAGAAAATCTATTTAACGTTGAACTTTGTATAGTACCTCAATAGTGAAATATTAGAATAAAATAGCTCTGTTCCTCGCGATACTTATGATTACCCTTCGGCTTCGTTTCAAAGAATATCGTCTTCGCCTCGTCGAAAACTGTTAAACATTTCTAGAAACTTCGGAGTGCAAAGGATTAAATATTCGGATTAACACTAGAACTACCGTTTCGATATTTTTGTTTAGCAATTATCGATATCTTCGAAGCATTGAATATTCGAGATGATTTTGAAGATAAATAGCTTCATTTCGGTACTATAATGAATGCCTGAAGAAACTGAAAATCTATTGCTACAATTTTTATAGGAATTGCATATTAATCGTATTGAATACTCGGTAGTCCTAGTGTTAAATTCGATCTCGCAACGTGGAACAGAGGAGTTCGAAACGTTGCTGTATTTTTTGAAGCCTCGAGGCAAGAGACGATCCTCTGTTTCTTTCGTTCGAAGACGCGAGCCGTTTATTTTGAAACTGGCTGAAGCGTGCATCTAACTAACCAATCAACTGAACTCGACCTATGTCTCTCCGTTGAAACGTTAGCTACAAGCTGCGCATAGAGTGCATGCTGCTGAAGGAAGAATTCGCCGCCAACATGGGCTACCTAGAGCCGAGCATCAATTCGATGATCCTAGCCGGCGAGGACCTGATGACGAACAAGCCGCTCCAGGAGGTGCTGTACATGGTCCTGGTAGCTGGGAACTTCCTGAATTCGGTGAGAAGACGCGACTCGAAACGCACCTTATCGTAACGCGTCGCGACCACTGAAAGTCGATGCACCCGTAGGGCGGTTACGCTGGGAACGCAGCCGGGGTGAAGCTGTCCTCGCTGCAGAAGCTGACCGAAATCCGGGCGAACAAGCCGGGAATGAACCTCATCCACTACGTGGCTCTGGTAAAGTACAGTGGACCCCCCGGTAAAGCGAGAGATAATTATAGGGACCTCAACGTCGTCTTTTAGACACCGATCCTCCGTTATATTTGAGACTCTGTTACGAACAGTCTCGATTTCCCGGCTATTCGTCGGCGATCTTTTAACCCTTTGCACTCAGGGGGTGAGTCACCGCTTGATTTCCTACAGTGAAGCTATAAAGTTTGATATTTAATATTGTACCTCGTATATTGCATCGATCTGAGAGATATTCACGTAAAATTGCTTTGTCCGTTAATCCACGTGAATTTCTCGTCGAGTTGGTTTTACGAAATATCGTCTTGAAATATTTCTAGTGGAAAACTTCGGACTGCAAAGGGTTAAGTGCCTTTCTACCAATTGATTTCATACAGTGAAACTATAAAATTTGATACTTAACCCTTAGCACTCCACATAGGTTTGCGACGTGTCAGCGACTCCTACCAATTTCGATAGTAGTCCTACTGAAAATTCAGTGTTATAACATTCCTTAGACCTTCGATTGCCTTCTCAGTACAAACTTTCTATATTCGGAAGATCTAATAATCTTAAGGTAGTTCTCTTAAAATTCATTAAAATATTTAATATTAGAACTGCTGCAATATTGGAGCCTTCAGAGTTCAAAGAGTTAAATTATACATCAATCGCTTAAACAGCAGAAAATAGGGAATGCGCCGATCTCTTGCTGTTCAAATAATTAACCCTCTATACGCCGAATTGTTTATGATTATAACAAAATCTAGGCAGTGTGAAATTAATAAATGCCCGCATACGAATACGAATTAACAATGTATTTAATAGTTTCAGTAATTTCATCGAACAAATATATTTTGTAACTTTCAAGTTACGTTTAAGTTCAAAGTTTAAGGTAACTGATTACTTAATTTTATTCGCCACTTTGAGTGCAAAATGAAATAAATCAACAAGATTCCAATATACTGCCACGTGACTTCAAAGTTACACAGGCCTATAGAGGGTTAAATCGGCTGTTTGAGACTCAGCCTCCGAAAAACGAGAATTTCATCTCGTCTAAACGTCGACGTTCGTCCGCAAAGGGTTAATCGCTTTATTCGAGCTCCCACTGTATGTCCCCGATTGTTACCTTCATCGACGCGTCACGTAATCCGTGTTGTGCACCGCAGCAAGCCGAGAGGAAGCGGAAGGACCTGCTGGACTTCGCGAAGAGCATGAACGCGCTGGAAGCCGCGACCAAGTGAGCGCCAAAGATTACTGCACCGACACTAGAACTGCCGAACAATTAAAACAATTCATACGTAATCCGTACATACCGAATTCTGTTCACTCGATTTTCATTCAAGGCAAATTATTCCTGTTTCACAGGATTCGTTTCATCCACCGCGATCTAAGTTCTCTATTTCTCTATGGGTATGCTCGTCCACGCGAATTTCTTTCGTGACAATTGCAACAGATCACTTTCAGTTCCTTCGGAAAATGTTCCATTCACTGGAGTATCCGAAAGAAACTATTTTAGGAATCATTCTAATATTCGATGCTTCTAAGGCATCGATAATCGCGAAAGGAAACCGAAACCTGTCACGGTAGTTCTAGCGTTGAACGTAGAGTCATCCAGTCAATCGAAACAGTTTCTCCTTTTACAATTCCTGGGAGAACGGAAATTTGCGTCTCTCGTAGATACAGCGATTCCCTGGGAATCACTGAATAAGTTGATCCCGTGATACGCAAGCTGGAGTACAGGTCGATCGGAATCTTCAACGCGCTCTTGCGAATAACGAAGGAAAAGTCGGTTCGATTGCTCGATGATTCTAACGTTGAATGCTAATGTTGAACGTTAATCGTTCCTCGGTTCGACCGATGTCTGATCACCGCGCTCGTATGTCCCAAGGACCACCACGGAACAGTTGAGCAACGAGTTCAACGCTCTCGACACGAAGATCAAGAAGATCAAGGCGCAGATTCAACTGCCGTCCACGGAGATCGACATACAGGAGCAAATGGCTCAGTTCCTACAGGTAGGTGGGAACGCTCCGGACGTACGCGAAGAATCTTTGCGAGGAATCTCTGCTGAAACGGAAGCTTTGATCCCGCAGATGGCGGAGCAAGAGATGAGCCAGCTGAAGCGGGACATGGAGGAGCTCGAGACTCTGAGGCGGTCGCTCGCGGAGTTCTTCTGCGAGGACGTGAACGCGTTCAAGATCGAGGAGTGCTTGAAGGTGTTCCATCAGTTTTGCCAAAAGTTCAATCAGGCTGTCGCGGAGAACGAGAGGCGGAGGATCCAGGAGGAGCAAGTGCTGGCCAGGCGCAAGCAACGGGAGGAGCAGCTGCTGGCCAAAAAGCGATTACGTATGTATTTCCTTCGGTGTACCTACTATAGTGGGGCTACTATTATTGTAGATATTGAAAAGGTGGATCTTCGGTAAAAAGAGAATTAGGAAACGATATGGACAATACGTAAAAATACAACTTAACACGAAGGCCAACACACGACTCTGTCACGCACAAAAATGTTCTTCTCGCACGCATTCCCACTCGCTTTCTGCTTTCCCAGAAATCTGCTGGCGAGAGTCACCCCTCGAGTGCGAAGGGTTAAATGTTACTGTTCCATTATCGATCGTTTACCTGGAGTAAACGTAGATGTAAAATAAGCATCGAACGTGCTTCTTTTAATAATGAATTATTAACGATAGAATAGTTGCATCGATCATAGCTGAGAAATAAATCTTAGAGCAAGGGGTTGATCCATTGTATTCATTAATGCACTTCGATTATTAATTTCATACTGTGGTTATTAACCTCTTCGCCTACTCATGAAAATTTCAAACTAAATTCTAGAAACGTGTCATTTATGTTTTCTTAAATATAAATGAAATATTGCTTCTCCGTTATTAACTATTAGCCTTTGATGTAAACGTAGGCATAGAATATGCATGGAAATTGTGTCTATTTCTAATGAATTATTAACGATCATGAAAACTTCAAACTGAATTCGAGAGATGTGTCATTTATATTTTTCAAATATAAATGGAATATTACTTCTCCGTTATTAACTATCAGCCTTTGATGTAAACGTAGACATACAATAAGCACGGAAATTAATTATTAACGACAGAGTAGTTGCATAGCTAAGAAATAAATCTTGCAAGCGGTCGATCGATCGTTGCTCCGATTTCCTTCCGTTTACCACGCGCCTTGTTTCAGTCACGAATCAAATGGAGACGCCAGCCTCTGAATCCGAGTCGAACTTACTCGATTACGGTCTCTTTGATCTCCATACCGGTTTGCCTCAGAGAAATTACAATCGTAACGATGCCAAGGTGAGCGATACCGCGCGAAAGCGTCGCGGCGGTCATCTTATTTACACGTCCCGCCGCCCCGCCCCCCCCGTTCCCCGAGAAGCTCCTTTCATTTTTCTTATCCGCCCAGATGAAGAGATTGCAAAACGGAGGAGTGACGTCGGACGAGGATGTCTCGATCGCCGGATCGCCGAGCATACGACGACGTTTGGGTTCCTGTTCCGGTGGAACCGTCGACCAACAGTCTACCAAAGAAGATTCTACCTATTCACCAGGTCGAATCGCACTACGTCTACTTAAAAATCTTTCTCTCCGCGCCTCCCTGTCTTCTGATAACAATATACGCACGTTTCAACCCTTTGAACTCCGTAGGCTCCAATATTGCACCAGTTATAATATGAAATATTTTAACACGTTGAACGCCGCACGATCTTACGGTACAGAATACTCGAAATGGAAAAAATATAATATTAAATCATTTGATTGAATCGCATTGTTATTCTTGCAGGTTCATCTAGCTGAATGTCACCACATTAGCTAGCATTATTTATAAAATAGAAATGTTTTCAAATAATCATGGTAATTGAGTGAACTATAGCAATTCGATTTGGTTGGTCACCGGCGACCTGGCATTCAACGTGTTAATGAATCTTAAAGGAACTACCCTAAAATTATTAGATTCTCCGCACGTCCGACTTTTGCACTGGAAAATAGATCGAAGAAATGTAGCATTTCACATTTTCGCAATACTATACAAATTAGTTGCGGTTGCTGATAGATTACAAAACAACCTGGAGTGCTAAGGGTTAAATAATTTGATTATAAAGTGAACGTTCTGAATTTTTCCTGTTACGATATGAAGTTCACTTATTTCTATGGTATGAACATTCATTTTTTATTAGAAACTTCGCCTCCCCTAGCGATAGGTCGCGGATCTATAGTGAACGTAGAACGTGCCAACAATTTTCCTGTTTGTTTCAATGAATCGTTCGCGTCAAAGCAGACGTGACGCCGAACGGTACTCTACGGCGTCGCAGGAGCCGGATACCGTGCGAGGACGACGATGGCAATTTGATGGACTTCCTGAGGACCTCGGGACAAGACAACGCTCGCGAGAGGAAGTCCTGGGGTAGTTTAGGTATGCTCGTATGTAACCAGCTATTCGCGCGTTTCTAAAGGGAAAAACCGATGTTTCTTTCGTTGATCGATCGACAGACCGATCGTGGGCTCGGCGAGCGCGAGGCCAGTCTCGCAGGAGCGACCTGCTGACGGCTGACTTCTCCACTGACAGAGAGAGGCCGAGCTCCCCTTCACCTTTGGTCGAAAACAAGCCGTTCTTGCAAGAAGAAGAGGAAACGAAGCCTGCAGGGTAAAACAATTGAACAGCTAAAATCGACAGCTGACGAATTATTTAGTTATTCATAGATTGCCAGTAGAATTTAATAGTTTACATAGAAAACATTGCGAGTGTTAAAATCGTGCAATTCTTTTGCCAGTAGAATTGAATAGTTCATATAGAAAATATTGCGAGTATTACAACCGTGCAATTCTCTTGTTAGAATTGAATAGTTCACATAGAAAACATTGCGAGTGCTAAAATCGTGCAACACTTTTGCCAGTAGAATTGAATAGTTAACATAGAAAACATCACGAGTGTCACAACCGGGCAATTCTCTTGTCAGTAACCATCGATGATAGCAGTCACACACAATACTGATTATATCGACAGACGACATAATTCTATATAACTTCCTTCCACCTTGCAACTTCGACGTGCACTTGCAATATTTCCTACGAACGAAAGATCTTCTCGAGGTTGAAAGCATCATCGAAAGGTCAGTTCCTCCGATGTTCAGATTGTACGCATATCTGTCGTATGTTTGAGCAGAAAAGCGTGGCGACAGAAGATCGAGGCGTGGCTGTCGGAGAACGAGAAAGAAGATCGCGCGGGCGAACAGCTTCAAAGGAAAGCGCGACAATTGCACCAGGCGAATCGACGGTCCTTCGAAGACTCGGGTGAGTCGGTGCACGCCGAATATTTCTTTTTAGACGAAGATCTACTCCCGTCGAATCTTTACAGAAAGCGAAGGCAAAACGAACACCCCGACCGAAACTAGTTCGACGCACGACCCATGCTCTCGGATATACGACTGGCGACCGTCGGTCGAGAAGACGGACGTGATGCGCACGATGGAAGCCATAGAAGGTGACCTCGACCGTTCTCGAACCGGTCGTAGATTAGAAGTTTCGATATCTCTCGTTTATTTTGCCCGGAGATTGCCCAATTTTCTCTCCAGAAAGGAACAAAGTCGTAGGAGACAGCGAGAAATTTGTCGAGCGCTTCTTTCGTGAATCGATGAAACGTTCATATTCGAAATACCGAGTTGCAAACCAATGATTCGATTACTCGAACAGCAAGAGATCAGTGTATATTTCCCTTTTTTCTATCGTTCAAGCGTTCGTTGTACAATTTAGGCTTCGCGCGTTGCAAGTTTTCTGCACTTTAACCCTTTGCGGACGAATGTCGGTATTTTGGACACATGAAACGTTCATATTTGAAACGAGAGGCTTTTCCAACTGAATTCCACAGTTAACAGGTTAAGGGATGCTACGACAGTCGATGCGTTAACGTTCCCATTGCGTTTCAGAAGCCGAAACCCATCCTTCGCAAAAGGATAAATCTCCCTGGAGGAAATCCAGCTTGAACGTGCAGAACAGCATGGAGGAAACCGACCCCCGATACTCGCGTAGATTAAGATCGCGACTTGGCGGTACAGAGAATGCTCTGACCTCCGGCACCTTGCAGGTTAATATCGCATTGGCTCTTTATGAAAATTACGTGACTCGACGGTATTCAAGGAAAACCAAAATTTCTAACGCTGTAACATATACTATTACAATTAACGAAATTACTTACTTCTGATTTCTTCTTTTACAACTACCGAAAAGGTACAGATACTTCTACGAGAAATTATTAACGAAACTAATTCGGTAAGAGCAAAACTGAAATAAACATTGAAATCTCGGTAAACACACGTTTTCATAAAGAAATTTGTGAACGTGAGTTTGAGTGAAATTTTTAGAACTATAATTAGAGAAATAGGAAAATTGCCTTAACGTATGATACAAACTTGATACGCTTTGAATATTTTACGTGTGCACACTAATGCACTCTATGCTCTGGTGCAAGTATTATATTCAATTGTGTACAATATTATATAATTCAACATATAAAAATATCGTTTATTCGTAACCCCAGTCGATCAAAGAGGAAGACAGAAAGAAGAGCAGACCGAGCGACCCCGTGAACTTGGACAATCCAGACGAGCTGACGATCTACCTGCGTGAACCGTACGGCAGCTCCCAAGCGTCCGGATCGCGGAGATTCACGAAATACAAGAAGGCTCCCGAAGAGGAGAGGATCAGTGACAAAATAGAGATCGACTCGGACAACATCGAGACGCCGCCGGCGACGAGGAAGCTGTTCAGTCCGCCGAAGGAAGTGAAGCCGGTGGAAAAGGAACCGTGCAAGAGGGAACGTTGCAACGGTTCCTTCCAGAGTCGCAACGATGCTAGGAACGCAGCTGCGAAAACTACCAGCGCAGCCAGCACCGCCAACAGCAGCTCTAACAGCAACAGCGGTGATTTTGGCACCGGTGAGTAAATGATTCGTGAAACTAAATCTGCGTCAGTTTTTATATTTATAACTCATTCAGGAAACCTAAGTATTCGATACTGAAACTAGAAGAAATGATCTATTTCTCAATTGTCTTTCCAATTGCAAAGCTGATGAAAGTTTCTCCGAGAAACTACTAAGGAAATTTGAATAATACGAGATTAGCGATATTTAGTAAGATTTAGCAATTAAATTTACGCTACTCTTTACATTGACAACTCGTTCGAGAAGCCTAAGTATTCAACACTGAAAGACACAATGACCTATTTCTTAATTGCCTTTTCAATTATTGCAAAGCTGACAGAAGCTTCTCCGAGAAACTACTAAGGAAATTTGAATGATACGAGATTAGCGATATTTAGTAACATTTAGCAACTAAATCTGCGTCACTTTTTATATTGACAACTCGATAAAGAAACCTAAGAATTCGACACTGAAAGACACAATGACCTATTCTTCAATTGTCTTTCCAATTATTGCAAACTTGACAGAAGCTCCTCCGAGAAACTACTAAAGCAACCCGAGTAATACAAGATTAGCGATATTTACCAAGATTCAGCACGCAAATATTCAGTCACTTGAAATCTCGGTATCACTTAGAGTCCCTCTGACCTTGAGAAAGTCAATTCACCGGTAGTTCTAGCGTCGAGTACTAAAAAAAGCGCATCCAAGTACAAACTATCAGAAGAGCAACTAGGTTAACGGTATATGCTCAAGACTTTTTGCTAACGAAAGATTCACCGTTCGCTTGATGCTCCAGGTAACTTCGATCGGTACTCGGCAACGAGGAGGACGCGAAGGTACAAGAAGGTGCAGGACTCGGAGAAGGAGTCGAAGCAGGACGCAGCTGCGGCGTCGGAGGAGAAACCGGTTGTCCAGCGGCCGCACACGTTGCTGCTGTCGGAGCAGGCAGCCCTGGACGTCGGCCCGGGCGCCGAGCAGCGCGCCGATCACGACGCGGACGAGGATTCGATGCTGCGCGGCTGGCAGGAGAAACTGAAGCGGCGCGAGGCGGTGTCCTCGTTCGACATCGACGCCGCGCTCGCGGACATCGCCAGATCGGGCGAGGACCTCCAGCGACTGTCGCGGCCGATCGCGTTCACGCGCCGAAACTCGAGGCTGCCCGTCAGCCAGCCGCCGCCGGTGTTGGCGGTGACCAACACGGTGCTGAGTCCCGTGATGCAGGAGTCCAGGCCGAGGGAGCCCTCGCTGGCCGTCCTCGCGGAGAGGGCGGTGACCAGCCGCGAACGCCAGAGGAGCATGATCGATCCCAGCCAAGTGAAGGAGGCGATCAGGCTGACCAGCAACCCGCCCAGCGAGGTGAACCAAACTCGAACCGGCGCGACGCAGCCGCCGCGCGAGCGGAGCCAGCTGGCCGATCCGCACAGGCGATCCACGATGGAGGACAGCGGCGAGGACAGGACCGACTCGAACGATCCGAACTGTCGACCGGTGGACGCCGAGGTCTACGAGACCTCCGCGGCCGAGGACGGGAAACGAGCGACGCCTCGAACGGAGATCGGAATCGTGCCGCAGCCGGTGAACGACAGCCGCGTCTTCCGCGGGAGATACGTGCCCGAGATAAACGTCACGTCCAGTGGTGGGTGGAATGGTATTTTAACTCTTAGCCGACCGAATGGGATCTCCCACTTAGTATTGCCTTTTATTCTATCTTCTCTTTTATTTAGTCTTCAAGTGGGATTACTTGCAATTCATGAAATACGGTTCTTGTTTTTGCGAAACGGTTTCTAACCGAATTCTCCGAATGTGCTCAATTGGAGGTGATGGAGGAGGTTGTAGGTATAGTTCTTTTTAGGTAGTGTTAACACGGTGGAAACTTGGAAGAGTCGCGAAAATAGGATGCGAATCGAGGGACAGTGCGTAACTTCGAAGTTATAGAATTAAATTCATAGGCTTATAAATTGCAGTGTTATTCGTGTAATTTTGTATCACGATGAAAATCGATGCTATAGCATTCCGCGAAGGTGTTAAGTAGAAAATAGTGGATAATCCTATTGATTCGAACCGTTGGAATAGCGAAGAGTACTCTCCCTGGTAGAAGTTAGTTTTCGGAAGTAAATAATAAATAATAATAGAATAATAATAGTAATAATCTTCATAGAATAAGCTACTTAAGCGACGTACACTTGAAATATTCGCTTTCATTGAATGTTCCGCAGCTCTGGTCGCGTCCTCTCCCGGCAAAGGTCGGGACCAAGACATGAACGACGAGGGTTTCGAGGAGTCTCAGAGTTTAGTCTCGGAGACGTTGAGCCAGGAGACGTCCTCCGGCAATTACGAGACGGACACGCACGATTCGACGCGTTGCTCGCCGGCGGAGCTGCATTTCTCCGCGAATGAGCCCGTTCACGCGCGCATCGCTCCCGGCGGAGAGGAAATGAAAGGCGGCGCGAAGAAGTCGATGGATCAGACGTTCGGCTCGTCGATCAAGGGATTCGCGAAGCGTACGGGCTCGACGAGGAGCACGGCCGAGAGGTCCAGCTTCCTGCCGAAGAGGACCAACAGCCTGAAACGCGACGGACTGAATGCGAACGCGGGATTCGTTGGATCGAACGGTCAGCCTAGGAACGAAGTGGAGAGGTCAGGATCCAGGAGCAGCTTGCGCAGCTCTAGGAGTTCATTGAACAGCGCCACCTCGGTGAACACCGTGAGGAACTTGGTGCCGAATCACGCTCGGCTTCGGACTTACACGTCCGCGATCCGAGCGTTGACCAACGATCTTCGTAAAAGTCCGTCGAGCACGCCTCTGCCGCCGAAGAATCTTGAGAAGCGTCGCGCGAATCCTCGCTCGACTGTTACCAGGATACCCGCCAGCAGGAGCAGCAGCAGCGGAAGCAGCGTGGGCCCGGCTGCGGTTAACGTTAGAACTGCGAGGAGGTCTCTTGGGGTGAGTGCTCAGTGGATTCTGGGGAATTCAGGGTTTCGGGTGTAAGTCGTGTAGCTTCTGCAGTTTGAATTCTTTGAGTTGTCATTTTATGACATTTTCTAGTTGCGATTATCTGAGTTCTAACTTTTCTAGTTGTAATTCTCTAAGTTCTAACTCCTCAAGTTCGAATTTTCCAAGTTCTAACTTTTCTAGTTGTAATTCTCTAAGTTCTAACTCCTCAAGTTCGAATTTTCCAACTTCTAACTTGTCAGGTTCTGATCTTTCAAGCTCTAACTTCTCAAGTTCTGATCTTTCGAGCTCTAATTTCTCAAGTACCAATCTCTCAACGTCTAACTTCTCAAGTTCTGATCTTTCAAGCTCTAATTTCTCAAGTACCAATCTCTCAACATCTAACTTCTCAAGTTCTGTTCTTTCAAGCTCTAACTTCTCAAGTACCAATCTCTCAAGTTCTACTCTCAAGCCCTATCGCCTCAAGTTCTAATCACTTCCTCTAAAACCATACAAACTACAGGCAATCCCTGATCCGAAACATAAGATACTATACTAAAAGAACTTGAAACCCTGATGACAGCGTTGGGAAAACATTCCTCCTGTACAAGGCTTACACCCAAAAGCTTCAACTCACCGCAACTCCTTCAGAATCGAATCATTAATAAATACCGTTCGTGCATTATATCGAAACAATGTCAAGTTCATGCGTAACGCTTACAACATGCAATGCCATTCGACGCTTCCAGACGTCGAGCGACGCGCCGAAGGGGAACAAAGGACGGACAAACGGCTCGCTCGGCAGCAACGCCAGCAACAATGGAAGCGGCACGCAACGGTCATTGCTTCCATTGGATCGGTCGAACGTGGAGAAAATACCGGCTACGAGGAGCAAGTTGATTCACCCTCGAGCCAGCACGAAAAGCCACGGTTTCATGAGACCGACCGCCGCGAGCGTGAACAAGGGCTCCAATCCGAATCTTCCCAGGAGTATCAAAGGTTTGGTCAAGTGATCGCTATCAGCCACGCGTAACACAGTTTTTATCCAACGTGACAGGAACTTGCGCGGCCCACCAACGAATCGACTGATCTACATTACAATTCGCTCCCACTACGTCAGGTTGTCCCATACATTTCCTACTCAATGACAAAGTCTGTAGATGTTTTGGAAAAACGGCATTGCGAGGCTGCCATAAAGATGGAGGAGAGTAACAAACGAAAATGGATCATATATAATTCAATAATAATGTGAGAATAAAACGAAAGGAACTTATGGGACAAGCTGATACGTATGAGCCGTTCATAGGTCGAACAGACTAACTCCGTTTACTCGAATCACTTGGAAGAATGGCGCAGCGTTTAATCGACACATTGCTAACGGAATCTTATTTATTTCATTTAGTTTCTCTATTTCTCGTTTGGTGGACTTAATCGCTTTGGCAAACGAATGGCTCGCACAGCGATACGTCAACGATCGTTACCCGGTCACCTACGGATTTAGGGCAAATTTCTTTTACGCGAACGATAGTCAAACGAAACGCCTTCGCCGTTGTCAAAAAGAGATAGACGATAGAACGTCGCGTCGTCGTTTATAATCATACACCTTCGGGCCAACACTTTTAATCGTATTAACACAAGATGCGCGACGGCATCGCGCGTACCATTAATATGATTATAATAATTCCTTCCAGTCTCTTAGGACGCATTTACAACTATGTAATATATGTATAAGTGTACTAACTAAACGTGTACGACGTATGTAAGTTTCACGGCCGGCGGCACGCAAGCTGTGAGCCATGACGATCGTTAGTAAATTAACGAATTGAATAAACGTAATTTAATTTTTGTTCGAAGCGAGATTTCCTTCTATCGGGTGTCGTCTGTCGAGACGCGCGTCGGGCCGTGGTAAGTGACGTCAGAACGAACAGAGAAATTCCTCGTGCGATCACGCTCTCTCTCTCTCTCTGGTTTCATCGTTTATCGTTATATTAGCAAACAACGGATATCTACATACAATATGTTACACAACGTAAACGCAAAGAGTGTTTCCCGACACGCTCGCGAGTTTCTCACGCGAAAGCGAAACCGAACGAAGAGCTCGCGTGAACAATTAAATATAAATACTAATACTATTTATATGATCCTCGGTGTAACGGTGAATAGTCTTCAACGAGAGTCTGTAAACGAATGTTCGAGAGTATCCTAAACGGATCGGACCACGGAAACCAACGGAGGAGACAAAGGAGGAACGTCCACGTCGTTTACGCATTCTCTGTACGGTCACGGAAGCCCAGAGACACCGGACTCTCCGGCGCAAGAATAAACTCGAACTGCAAACCGAGCTCTTCCTCCACGACAATCTCGAATTCCCGGATGATCTAGGGAACAGAAGATTCGTGATACACATTGGAGCAATTATGGTGCCACTTGGGTCACAAGCGTAATAGAACTTTGGTTGTCCAAAGTAATTGGAACCAAGGTGGTTAGGATAATCAAAGGGTACAGCTAGCCAAACTAATTGGGATCAAAGTAGTTAGGATAATGAAAGAGTATAGTAGAACATCAGTTCTCCAAACTAATAGGGATCAAAGTAGTTAGGATAATCAGAGAGTAAAAGTAGAACATTAGTTATCCAAATTAATTGGGATCAAAGTAGTTAAGATAATCAAAGAGTACAGTAGAACATCAGTTCTCCAAACTAATAGGGATCAGAGTAGTTGAAATAATCAAAGAGTATAGTAGAACAACAGTTATTCAAACTAATAGGGATCAAAGTAGTTAGGATAATCAAAGAGTACAGTAGAACATCAGTTCTCCAAACTAATTGTGATCAAAGTAGTTCGAAAAATCAAATGGTACAGTAGAACATCAATTACCAAAACTAATTAACGATGTTCTAGGCACTCAAACGCATAGTTCAGATATTCAAACCATAAAACGAACTATAATCGGGGTTCTACTGTAACACCATCTCATAAAAAATTATATAATACAAACCTTCGCCAGAATAAGCTGCAACGCAAGCTCTACGAAACGTTTTCCCGGGCATATCCTCCTACCCGTCCCGAAAGGCGCGATCAGCATGGGCGAATGAGGGGCGACAGGTTTCAACCACCTCTCAGGCATGTACTGCGCCGCGTCTTTGAAATTCTCTTCCTTCATGCCGGCTATCCATGTGTGCAGTATGACCACGGTCTACGATACAGGCGAAATTACCATCAGGAAACGTGTTCCATAGTGAAATACGAGAAATGGTACCGTGGCCACTCACCCCCGCGGTAAGATGATAATCACCAAGATCGACGGGTTCGTCCAGGATTCTGGCGATGCAGGTTGTCGTGGGCATGACGCTGAACAACGAGCAATGAAATAAATATAAATTATCTGGCAGTTGTCGCTAGACCTTGGATCTTTATGCAAACTGAAATTTTCGACATATAGAATACAATGAAATAATTAGAAAAATAGTATGACTATTATTTTTCTAAAAATACCAAAGGTATCTCCATTATGTCACGTGCATTCTGTGCAATTCGTCACCTTCGAATATTCAATTAACGCATAAAAATCCGCGGTTCACCGATGCGAACGAAAGCTCCAAAGGAAAAGAAGATAAACACACCGAAAGGATTCGGTTATACAGGCGCGTAGATACTTGGCCTTCCGCAAATCCTCGACGGTCAGATCGCAGCCGGCCGGCGCCAATGCGTACGCCTCCTCGTAGAGCTGGGCTTGCACCCTCGGGTTGCGCCCGATCAAGTCGAACAGGAACACCAGCGTGTTTCCGAGCTGCGAAACCAAATGAAACGTGGCAAACGTGTGCATACAAGGATTGGACGAAATTATAAGAACAAAACAAATCCTCCATGATATGTCATGGAACTTTCAAACATCCCCCATACACGTTTTCATTGAAATCGAAAAGTGTCTATTGATTTAACAGACTATAAACGAATTCATATCGTTAACCCTTTGCATCTCGAGAGGCGACTCACCACTTGATCTCATACAGTGAACCTATAACATTTCATACTTAACGCTAAAACTACCATGCCCGATGTCTTCTTTTCGCAGTTATTAGAAAGGTAACAAACGTTTCTTTGAGAAATTATTAAAGAGATTCATTTAACACTAGGCAAATTGAATAGCAAATCAATGAAAGTCTGAACAGACGCACTCTTGGAGTTTCTATAGCGAAATTTCCAAAAGTCAATTGAACTGCTCGGTAGTTTTAGTGTTAATATTATACTTTATTCATTTAAAATAAAATATCTCCCTCGATGTACGCGATTACTCTTCGAATTTCACAAAATGTCGTCTTTATCTCAGAAAATGTTCGAATATTTCTAGCGAACTGAGTGCACAGGGTTAACCCTCTTTAACCAGTTAACTGTGTTTGGTGCTAAACTCTTAATGGTGCTAAATTTTTCAGCGATGAATTCCTTATTTCTTCACATAAACATGTAATTCTCCTCTATTTCGCTGTGATCTTTCATTAAAGTATACTCTACGCGCATTCAACGAGTACACGCTCCATTTTTCCAACTAAACTCCACAGTTAACTGGTTAAACGCTGCTGAAACTCTTCAAGTGTCCAGCTACTAGTCCCAGCTATCGAACGCAAAATCCTCTAGGCAGTGTCTCCATTATTCGGCCCAGTCTGTAGAGTTCCGTGTACACCGTAGAAAAATCGAGGGAACGTCGAGACGCTCACCGTGTGAATGCCAGCCGCTATGAAATCTACGATAGCAGCCTTTTTGTCCCGCATGTCGAGACTCTTCTGTCGTAAGATGGACTGGAAGACCGCCTCCACGGACTCGTCTTTCGCGTCGTCTCGTTTCTCGCGTATGGTGGCCTCCACGATCTCCGAGATGATGCTGGAACAAACGAACCGCGTGAGCCGAAACCTTTCCAGTGGAAATTCCTCGTGCTAGAAGAGATTCGCATGCGTCGATACTTGTAAATCGTGTCCTCGCTCTCTATCAGCTGCTTGTACGCGGACGTCGGCAGCAGCTTCCACAACGGCAGGCCGTAGAAAGCGTCGCGCGACGCGGTAAAATGGACCCGGACGGCTTCCGCCAATCTCGTGGTGGTCGTCGAGTTGGAGTCGGGCTTCAGGAAGCCGAGATGGCGGCCCAGGATCAAGGTGCAGGTGCCTTAGAGGAGAGAATAGAGAACAAAGAGAATTAAAGGTTGTCACGACGTCGATCGAACCGATTGGCGACTAGGGGTGTGCGGCTACTCGAACATTCGGGTCGATATCATACGTTCATAGTGTCTATTCTAGTAATAAATATTCTACACTGTCAGCTTTTCATCTCTTCCTATTTCTATTCTTTTATTCATTATTAATTCTACCGTTAACTATTTCTTATTAGCACACAGCTACAGCGCTGTAATCTACCATTTTACCATTTAGCGAAACGCGTGAATTTTCCAAATTTCTTACATTGTCTAACGTGACATTCAAGCGTGATTCAGTAATGGTACTAATGATTCCTATTCCTATACCTTCTTCCTCTTCATTGTCTAATATGACATTCCAGCGTAAACCAGTAATGGCGCGCATCAACGCGTCAAATGTTCATCTCAACACGTTAAGCGCCATGTCAGTCACCGGTGACTGACGCTCCTGAATGACTAAAAAACAATCGTAACATACAAGGCAACCGATGTGAAATAAAAATGTAAGGCAACTAAGTTGATAATAACGCAAACGTTGCAACGCCAAACAATTCATAATTATCCTACTCTTCTTTGCTACAAAAGAAACTCTATGGGAAAACACTTAAGATTTTCGTGGCGCTTAACTAACTCGAAACGTTAAACAGTCCATCCAAAGAGCGAAACCCTATGAAAATCATCGTTCTCAGGAATCACCGATAAATCTACATCGCGCTCGTCGAAAGCAATTAACGCCACGGAGCACGTGTAACGGCGCAGAAATGTCGAGGCAGCCGGTCACCCCTACGCAAGCGAGCGCAACTCGGAGCTTACTTTCCAGTCCCATCTTGTAGGCGAGCTCTTCGAATCCGGTCACTTTGTAGCCAGTTCTCCGTCGACGAATTAAATCAACGAAGGAGTCCGCGACGACGTTCAGCGCCGGGAAGAAGCCAAGGACAGTGTTGGCCCCCGTCAGCTCTGACGTAAGTGCGGTCCGAAGATCGTGCCACTTTTGCCCCTGTCTATCGAACCGTTCGTTCGTTCGTTCGTTCGTTTTCATTCTTTCGTTCGTTCATATTCGCTCGTTCGTATTCGTTCGTTCGTATATTCGTTCGTTCGCACACGAACCGACCGAAAAACTCTCGGCGATGTTCGCGCGTCGAAGTCGCAATCGCCGTTTTCGGGACGTTAACACACAATTGTTGCGGACTAGAACGCGTCGAATCGACGGAACTCCGCTCTACGGGATAGAGAGCGTAACGTGTAACGTTAAACCCGACCTCGACTTCGACGCTCTCTGCCGTTGTTGTACCCCGATTACTCACTCGTTGACCAGCCCAAGATTCGTGTAATGATCGCGGCGGGTTTGCCGATAGTGGGATATCACCTCCTGCGGCGGACGCAGCGGGAACCGGGAGCTTTGCCTTAGGAGCGCTTCGATGTACGCCCGCGAGAAGATGGAGATCACGGGGTAGTTCCATAGCGCCTCTTCCTTGCACAGCGGACCGTACCGTTGATTCAGATCTATTCTTGAATTAGAAACAGCGGGTACTGTTATGAAGTATACGAGTTACGAATTAGAGGTATTGGCGATAATAAAAGCGTTTAAGAAATTTCGGGTTTACGTGTTAGGTATATTTAAAATAATAACAGATTGCCAGGCATTTACGCGACCATGGCCAAACTTATGTGTACGTGTAGCACGATGGGCACTGACCTTAGAATATCAATGTACAATCGAACATCGCGCCGGTAGAAATATGATGCACGTCGATGCTTTGAGCACGGAATCCGTTACCGTCAGTTATGTTAGTTGAAGAGTGCGAGGATAGCATCGTCGCGAGAATACGAAAAGCACTGCATAGCGACGCGACGTTAAAAAATTTCTTTGAGGTGAAACGGTTTATTATAGCCGATAATGCAGCTCCTGAGGACAGGAGCATCGTTCAAACAGTCGATTCAAGAAATAGATTCAGCAGCACGAAGACTGAATTGTAAATCGATTGAAGTCTCAACATCTCAGTATTACCGGAGCATAGAAATTATTAGAAAATAATTATAACTTATAAGACTAAGGTTGAATGGAAACGTTCAGTAAGCAATTCGCTTCTAAGGTAAGAATTCTGCTACCGAATAGCTAATAACTTCCTTTTAATCTTCGCTGCAGAAAGAATAGACGCGAACGCTGTTATCCGTGACAGTCGTGTTAACGCGGTCGCTGCCTAGAATTTTCGTTTACGTGTTACCTTTCACTGGCAGCAAAATAGAAAACAGTTTCATTTCGCGAGCAATGTTTTATATAACAGATGAATTATACAACTGTGAATCGTTATATCATAGTTTCCTTAACCCTTAGCAGTCCTATGTCGATTTTAACCATTTTTTTCATATTCATTTGTATCACAATTGTACCATTCAAAGGTAACATTTGAATGACTCCCAAATATTCTTGAACCAACAAACACAGCGTCATATTAAGCTGCTCTCGAATGAACCGACGTCGACGTGAACCTCAAAGCGAGAAACCAAAAGCACATCGGACCGCAAGGGTTAATCTACGAGCTTTATATAACTTGTATTATACAACTCCGATTCATTCTATCCTTTCCACATTCCCACTATAATACAATACCCCATAAGCAATTCAATTTCCTACGGGAACCACTTCTTCCTTTCGCGCCACCGACGATAAGGGTTGATTCTACCACGGCGACGGCCAAACCGCTTACCTTTGTAGGCTTCGTGGATCTTGTTCAACCGATAGCAACCGAAGCGGGAGAATATCCACCTGGTGCCGAGGATCGGCAGGGAGTACGGGCCCGGCACATCGGACACCGCCTTACGGTGCGCCACCCTTCCGTGTTTTTCCTCGGCGGGAGCTGCGAACGGACGGAAAAAACTATAGGTGCTCGAAGGTTTCGCGCGAGCAACATATTTCGCGTTCGGTCCTCTTTTGCACGGTTCCCTTGGGTGCCAACGGCGCGCGCGCGCGCGAGCGCGCCCGCTCGCAAGAAAGTCGCTTCTAAGGTTGAAGGACGCGGGAACAGCGCGACCTTGTCGCGCATAACCGCGAGCTCTACGCTTAGAAAGGAGACCGTGACCGTAAGCGCGGCGCGGCGTGCCGCGGGCACCGAGTCGCTTCAAATTGAAGGTCAAACGCGCCTCCGAACACGCCTCTGCGGCTACAATTTTCTCACTTCCCTCCCCTTTGTCCTTTCACTCTGTCTCTCTCTCCCTCGTCCGTTTTCGTTCGGCCGAAGACGTTATCGCGGGGAAAGCATGCGGCCGCTCGCTCGCGCTCTCTATTCGTCTCTGACCCCGCGCGGACGCGACTCTCCGCTCGATCGTGCAGGTTATGTTCAAATGGCGACGGACGATTACAATTTCAGTGTTGCTGGTGGCGCGCGTTCCTCTGATTTTCACCGACGTTCCCCGAATCGTTCCCTTGCGCGGCGAAGTTGTCGTGTTGTACTTTGCAGGCTCTTAACCCTTTGCACTCGGAAGCTTCTCGGTAGTATTCGAAATTTTTTGAGGCGAAGATGATGTTCTTTTGAAACCGACTCGAAGGGAAATTGTAAGTAAATCTAGGAACGAAGTTGTTTCACTCGAATATTTCACGTACGAGGCATTGCAATAGAAGATCGACGCTAAATATCAGATTTTATAGTTTTACCGCGTTAAATCAAGTGGTGACAGAGTCACCCCCCGAGTGCAAAGGGTTAATGGATGGGTATACTGAATTTTGTTGAGGATTATACAGAATATGCACAGAATAACACGAGGAACGACTTAGCGGATGACCCGAAGCTTTAACCCTGATCTTGCATGACAAAAGAGCATTCAACGCGCCACCGGTAATAACATATTCTGAATGAAAAATAGTAGTGTACTACTTCTCTGACGGAAATCAGCTCAAACGTAAGGACTTGAACTAGTAAGCCTTTATCTTTCAGTGTACTCAGTGGAAGATACTAAAAAGCGGCAGGTCGCGAAGTTATAAGAACTTCGTATTTAACCCTTTGCACTCGGAAGGTGACTCGGTCGCTACATTTGAAACATGAAAACTATAAAATCTGATATTTAATATTGATCTTTGTACAACGCCTCGATACGTGGAATATTGGAATAAATTATCTTTCTTCAATGTACTTACAATTTCCTTTCAAGGGCAGTTTCAAAGAATATCATCTTCACCTCGTCAAAAAATTTCGAATACTCCTAATGAGAAATTTCCGAGTGCAGAGTTAACCCTTTGAACTCCGTAGGCTCCAATATTGCACCAGTTATGATACTATAAAAATTAGTACTTCCAATTTCCCTTCAGGTGCAGTTTCAAAGAATATCATCTTCACCTCGTTAAAAAATTTCGAATACTTCTAATGAGAAACTTCCAAGCGCAAAGAGTTAAACTATTATCTTACACGGTAGAAAAATAAACGTTACGAACTTATGGAACGCCCTACTAAAACACTACATTGCAACGTACATCATTTCCGAAGGCGCTTGCAGTTCCAAGGCGCCTCCACTTTCTGGAGACGCGATCGTTTCGCCTCGTTTCCCCGAAACTCACCGTTCTTCTTGTGAAAAGTGCCGGTCCAGAACCACCAGGCGGGCCGGTAGCTGGTGGCGAGGATCAGGATCGTCAGGAGCGCGGCGGCGATCACCTCGAACCAGGCGCTGGAGAGCAGCATCTCGACGCGCTGCGGCGAAATTCCTGCGGGAACACCAAACGAAAATTTCCGTGTTTATCCGGCTGGGGAACGGTTCCGGCGAACAACGGCTCGCGCGGCGCCCACCGGTTTCTAACGGCCGCTCGCCGGGACGGACTGTTCTTATACGCGGCGCGTTATCGCCGCGATAACGGAAGGTGTCGCGGGCCCTGGCAAAGCTGGGAAATTCGCGGAGGAAACTGCCGGTTCTCGCGGATCGGGAGCGAAACGATTTCCATGCCGGCCGGCGGAGAAGAAGAGGGAAGAAGAGAAGGCGCGAGAAACGCGCATAGGTGAGACGCCGCGCAGTGCGGCCGAATGGCCGTCTTCTGGACAAAACTCGGGAACTTCGAAAATACGCGCGATGGAAACGAATGATTTCGATAAAAGTTGTAGGGTATAGAGTGAAATGTACGCTGGTTATGTTTTCGGTTACGTTTTGGGAGATTGTGGAGCTTCTTCAGTGGCAATGGGTATTTCGCGGTATTCAGGCGTTGTATAAATAGAATTGATAGAAAATTGTTATTTTTTAGGTGGGAATCATTTTGTATGGTAGAGATTAGTTAACGATACGTTGGTAACTAAGTTTCATTATGTGAATAGTTGGTTCAAATCGAATGTTTTAAAATAGGTTTCTATACAGTTCATTTACCGTAAGTCCAGTGTTAATATTTAAAATAAATTCCTTCATTGTCGGGTTTAGTGGCCAGAAACAACGAGAATTCTTTTGGCAGTGTAAATATCACTATAGCGAGAAGAATTCATTTGGCTCTGCAAAGAATGCAATGACAAGAATCTTTCTAACCGTACAAACACTGCAATAATAACAATAACAACAGATTCCCTCGTGTAATGAAACTGCAGCAACTATATGAATACGAAGGAAGATAATAAACAGATTAACACTAGAACCACCGATCATTTAACCCTTTTCACTCCAAAGGTGCCTGGTAAAAGGTAAGATTGTAAAATTCCGTATTAAACATTAAGTCTCGAGTAATCTGTCGATAAGTGAAACGGGGAAATAAAATACCATTGTTCCCCTTATTTTGCGAATAGATTCCTTATCAAGTTATTTTTAAAAAATGTCAACTATATCTCAGAAATAAATAGAATATTCCCAATGACAAATTTCTCGAATGCAAAGGGTCAATACAATTAATACATAATCCCGAGAATAGTATAACAGATTTCCCTCGGTTTCTGCGGATGTCCATTCGAAAGCTCTATCATCTAAGATATTCAATATTCCTCAGATACCAGTATTTACCAAATAAGAAAGCTAAAAGCATTTCGACCGGCACGATAGTTCCATCAAATTACACCAGATAAATTCCGCCACCGTCACTCGATTCGCCGTTCGAACGGAAACGACGCGAACCGCGAATAATCTACGAATATCCTATTCCATCCACACCGAATCGCGAACGTACTATCGCGTCGCTTCCCTCGACATCTTCCTTCCCCGCGGAGCAGACCGATTCGGCTAATTAGAGTGGTGGTCCCGTCTAACGAGCGAAGCCGCGAACGAGCGTCGAAGAGAAACGACGACGAGCCGCCGCTTCTGACTGACTGGCCCAGTGTTATTTATGGACCGAGGTTCGTTTATACACACGCGTATTTACAGCGCGTCGATAACGCGTGTCGCCACGATGACCCGGCTGCCCCCGCGTCGACTCGCTAATCTCCAAAGCTGTTACACGGATCGGAGAGAAAACGCTCGCAGGCGCACGGCGTGCGTGCTCGCCTCGGCGATATCCTCGCTGCCCGCGGGGGCATCGCCGCGCGGCCGCGCACCAACAGAGATCAACCGCGAAATTACACGGAATTAGACTAATCGACCTGCCGGCAGCGGAATTTCGTCGGGGAAATTAACGGCGCTTTCCGCCGCGCCCGTGTTCCTATCGCGAACGCTCGAACAACCGCTAAACAAAGGTAAACAAGAGGACCAGTTTCGCTGGCAAACGAACGGAGAGACGAACATCGAGGAATCGATCGATCGGTAATAATATAGGAATCGTACAATCAACCCTTTGCGAAGGAAGAATGTTTTTCTTAAAGATCCTCAGAGAGGATTCTTTAAAATGAATGTAACAAGAGATCACGCATAAATTAGGGAACGAAGCTGTTTCCTTTCAATGTTTCACGCATTGGTAGTGTACAAAGTTTATAATTTTCCTGCACCAAATCGTCTGGCGACTGGCGGTCGCCTCTCGAGTAAAGGGTTAACCCTTTGCGAACGGAGAATGTTTAAACTATAGAAAAGCTTCTGCAGATGCTGGACACTGAATGCTCAAATCCTAGAAATAAGGGAACTACGTACCGATTTCTTGCTGTTCAGATAGTTACATCATTCGTTTGCTTGGTGTTCGAAGGGTTAATTCAGTTATTCGATCAGCTTATAGTAGGATTAGTATTAAATGTAATCGAGCGACGATGAAACGAGAAACTGAAACGAAGATTACGCGTTCGAGTACACTCGCGTTCTCTTTGAAGCAGTGAAAAACGCGATTGCGAGCTTTAAAAAACGTCTCCCCGCTGTAAAACGATGCATCGTCTCGTTTTCTGACATCATCGATGATTATGCCGCGTTATACAACTCGAGCTAGATGTCGGATGCGTGAAATATACGTTGGATATTCGGTTTTCGGTGCCGTATTAATGTCGCATCCCTCGCGCGGCCCGGTCGCTGCGGCCCTGTCCACGATTTTGTCGCACTTCCGAGTGAGTCCGAGTGCTCGTTTTGGTGTCGTTGGGATCGGCAGGGTCTCTGGTTTACGATACGAAAAGAATTGCCCGCCAATTCAGATTAATTCGCCGGCGACACGGATTCGACGGACGCGGCGAGGCGCGTCGAAAATATTTACGCGGACGACCGTCCTCCGGCGTGAGCGCGGCAGAGGCGCGACGACGGTTCGGCAAACAGAAGCTCGTGCGTGATATCTAGGAATGCTCCTGATTAATTGTGTGCCGAGATAACGGAACGGCAGAATGTCGCCGTCAGATTGAGCCACGCGGAGCTTGTCGCCTCCTGCTCTAACTCTAATAGCGAACGGCCATCGCTTCGCGGCTTCTAGGGGGCGACGCGACCACTTCCACGGAAATCCAAAGTTCACAGTCGACTTTTCGCTGCGAAATTATCGAGCGAACTTTCGAAGCCGTTCGAAACGAACGGTTCGAATCAAGCTCGAACGCGCACATTCGCTTCGTCAAATTGAATTTCAGGTTTATAAATATACTCGAATAATTTAACATAAATTTCTGAAAATATTAACAGACCACGGGGGTCACCGGTCAACTAAATTCAATTACTACAGTTCATTAAATTAAACGATCGTTCGCAAGTATTTCTGTAGTACGAATACTTAACGAAGCAGAATTCAGCTAGATGTGTAATATTAATCATTCCAACGGATGATTTATCACATTTTCTCTATTTCCTGTATTTTGCTCTATGGAACCGGTCGAGTATAATAAAAGTTACATTTAATTTTTACTTTGCTATGTCATTTTCATTATCGGTAATATTTCTTGCTTTTCAATCGAGTATCCCATTGTTTCCTTGAAACGTTGTCCCCCGCTTCGAGGGGAACGGAGATTCGTCTCTCGCGCGTACCAGATACTAGGAATGATTTACCGAAATGTGACCGCTGGCGAAAGTCGTCGCGAACATTCCTCGAATAATCATCGGGCGGCAAATGCGTTCGTCAAACATCGCGCGATAAGCGCGGATCTACCGTTATATTGATCCTCGGCTGTTCGAGTTATTTCTGACACGCGAAAATAAATGTGTGCCGAAGAAGCCGCGCGTATCGTTTAGCGTGTCGTCTCGTTAGGGTGCCTTATCTGTCGGTTGATTGAATATTTACGTTACGGTGATTCGTCGCTGAAGTTAACAATCACTTCCCTGCTGTTCGACAGAACTCGGTTAACTGTGTCTGACGAGTATACGCGTCATCTTGAAACTCTTAACGGCGCTAACTTTTTCAACGATGGATTATTTATTTTTTCAAACAAACACGTAACTCCTCTTTGTTTCCTACTTCGAAGTCACGTATCAGTATATTGGCGTCTTGTCGATTTATTTCATTCTGCACTCAAAATGGCGAATAAATTTAAGTAATCAGTTAATTTAAACAAATCGCGTACAAAATATTCAACATTCTCGTAACGCTTAACGTGTTAACCCTTTGCACTCCAGAGGTGACTCTCGCCACCTGATTTCACACTGTAAAACTATGAAATTTGATATTTAACATTACACCTTACATAACGCATCAATTTTAGAAATATTCAAATAAAATAGCTTCGTTCTTCAATGTACGTATTTCTCTTCGAGTCAGTTTCACAAAATATCGTCGGAAAGTGTTCAAATATTTCCAGTGAAAAACTTTGCGGTGCAAACGGTTAAACATTTTCGACGAGATTAGGAACAGTTACACGCAACGGTTCACGTTCGCGATTTTACCGGCTTCGAAGTGAATTTTCCAGTCGAAGCATCGAACGAACCGAATTTCGTTCGACGCAGAGAGATCTTAGCTTTCCGGTTTCAGTTTCGTCGAGAAAACCGCCTCTCGGCCGCGCGAGCGATTCGACGAGCGTCGATTTGGCGGTCAACGTGTTAATTATGCGATCGCGTAGCACGCTCAGCTTTTCGTCGACATTCAGTACATTCGTCGTCGGCCGACGCTGTAAATGTAAATTATTCCTCTTTCCCGGTGCGCAAAGCGACGCCGGGGAACGAGCGTTCCGGGGGAGACTGAACCCGGAAATACGAGATCTCGTCGAACTTGCATGCTCGCGTGACAAGTAACCGAGCAGCTTACCAATAAACAATATATATGTATATATATATATATGTATATATACGTACATGCGCGTACTCGCACACGCGGGTTTAGCAATGATTTATTCATCGTTAATCCCTCGATAAACCGGAGAAGTGGTTAAAACGATGAGGACGCGAGAAAAACGTGCGTGCTCCGAGGAAACGGAACGAAGAAACCAACAGCGGAGATACGTAAATATAGATACAAAAGAGTAGAACGAAAGTTACGTTATCACTGGATTCGCAGACATTTACTAGAAAGTTTACTATCGCTTTCAGAGAAGCGGACATCGTTCGTTTGGAAATTAGAGGTTCGATCCCTTGTCATTGAATTTTGTATCATTTCGTATTTGTAATCGGTTAGAGCTATTTATCGTTAATAACGTAGTAAAATGAAACACTAATCTAGATTTAGTACAAACCATACAAACTGCTGATAGGAACCATAACGTTTCATTGAAGTTCAACGCCACTCAATGTCATTTACGTCTGTTGAACCATACTAGAAATCTTCGCCTGTCTGACAAGGTACCGCAGAGGTTAAAACGTTAATAAGGTTCAAACGAATGTTTATAAAATTCGATATAAATGAAATCGACGCGTTTCGTGTACCCGGTGCTAAGACAAAGCGAGGAATCGAAGGAGCGCAAGAAACAACGGCCGTTCGGAGGAACGCGAAGCGAGATTAATTCAAGCGTAGTGTAATTAAGCGCATAAACTCCGAGTACGGTAAACTGTTCGGTTCGTCTAGCTGCGCGATTTCGCGGAATTTCAACTGACCCGCGGTAATCGGACGCGGTTTCAAGGATCGATAAGATATTCCCCTTAGAGTTTAAAGTAACGCGTACTAGTCCGCATCGTCCTTGAACTTTCTTTCCGAACCTAACGGTTTTGATATTGCCGTGGCCGGCGGGGTGTATATGATTAAGCATATTCTCCGCCGACTCACCGTCGTAAATTGAGCCTCGAATTCAATTGCAATTGCTCCCTGCAAGAGTAAATAGAACAGGATTTCACGTCTATGATCCCCGTCGATGATTCGCCGAATTAGACCCCGACGGCGTGCGGATCTTTCGTTTCCAATCGAATACACTCGCCGACTATTTCAACGATTACACCTTCGAACGGAGCGTTCGATGGATTTATCGATTTAATATAATTTTCGAGCGATGTTCCATTAATACTATCGTGAAATTTAATATTGGCATCACATCGAACGGAGAAACCAATGGATATCTATATAAACGTCATGTTCGAGCGAAGAAACGAATTTTTGGAAAGTCGGCGAGGCTCGTTCTCCGTTACGGTGGCAAGCGTCGATAAAAATAAGCCACAGCGTATTCTATTATTACGCTGTTGATGTTGGATTATCAACATCAACGGTAATCAGCATTGATAAGAGAGGAATACAAAGTCTCGGGCCCGTAGCCGACCGATGTCGGTTGACATGTTCAAACGCTGTTTACGATACACGCTCCGGCCAAATATAACCGCGCGCTACGAATGCTCAGCTGAGACTGGAACATTTAGCAATAATGAAACGTTCTTGTACTTACGGAGGGTGAACGTAGTCCGAGAGACGGTTAAAAAGAGACACCAAACGCTGCTGCGGCCGTCGTTGTCGCGGATGGTGATGGTGGTAATGGTGGAAGCCGTGATGATGATGATGATGATGATGAT